GCTGATTGCTGTAGGCCCTGGGCCCAGGCCCAGGCCATCGTGCCCTAGAGGTCAGCGTGCCAGGGGTGCTTACAGAAGGTGCCAACAGTCTGCTGCCCTGAGAGCATAATTTTCCAGGCAAGCCCCTGGGGGCAGAGCTGCTCCATTTGCATCCCAATGCACAGATAGTGAACAAACTGCATGTGACCATGGCTGACCTGGAAACTGGCCACCTTCACCATCCTCAAAAGGTCCTACCCCCTTCATTGAAACCACAAGGGGGCCCTCCCTTCCAGGGAACTGCTCCCTGCTCCCTGCAGCAGCATTGGCACAGGGGAGGGGAAGGGAGATGAAGACACCTGAAGGTGGCTGGACACCAGAGGCAGAGGGCACTGCAGGCCACAGGAGCCATAGCTCTCCTGTAAAGTGGCAGAGGCTCTTGAGCTGCCCTACAGGGTCTTTTTTCTGTGTTCCTTCCTGAATATAAACAGTTTTCTTTATCACAAAGTGTTTGCAATATACAAAGAATCTGCATGATGTCCATAAGAAATAAACCATAGCAATGAGCACCTGTACCGCATACAGACGCAGTCAGGATTACAGGGCCATTACAAGCACTCTGTGCCTTCCACCCTCCCCCTCCAGGACACCAGCACTAGCCTCTGACTTGAATTTTCATGTGTCACCGCAGTATTTTTATAACTTCAACTGTGTTATCACTAAATGGAGTTTTCTTGAGTTTTATATTTTAGAACTTTTTTGTTTGTTTTTTGAGACAGAGTCTCACTGTGTGGCCCAGGATGGACTCAAACTCACAGTTCTCCTGCCTCAGTCTCCTGAGTGCAGAGTTCATAGGCATGTATCCACGGCTCCTGGCTTTATTTTTGAGAACTTGATAAAGTTCTTAAAGTCTTTCTGATTTTCTTTTTCCCTGGAACACGTTACTCATCCACTTTATCTGTGCCATTGTAGGTAGCTAGCTTATGCATTTTCACTGCTGAGTAGGACTGCAGCAAGAGCACACGCCACTGTTGATGTGTGTGTGCTGTGTGAAGGACATGGCGGTGACTGGAGATGATGCTAGGGATGGTCTCGTGCACACCTGGTGCACATGACAAGATGTCTCTGGGACACTTGCATAGGAGAGAATTGCCTTGCCATGTGGTGTGTGCCTCTTCAGCTTTCTAGTGAAGACACCGTAACTGTCCCCGGTCACAGCCCGTAGCAGTTATGAGGAGTCAGCTTTGCCCTGCCTCTAGGCCCGTGCCTGCTGTGCAGGCTTTGCCTTTTACTGCTCCAGTGGTGTCACAGGACAGCTTAACGTGCTGTTGCCTCAGTGACTAACACAGCAGGTATCATTCCACATGCTGCTTTGGCCAGTTTCCTCCTTGTTAAGTTTTTTCAGTTTTTCTCTAATTAACGTACACACCTACCTAGAGACAAACGACGCAGTGGGTTTATGATGGAACATAGCAGAGTAGGACCTGCATCTCCTTTCCAGCCTCACCAAGTGACAGTCTGCAGCGCTTCTCCATATTCTCCAGGTGCTTCCCTGCACACTTTAGGATAACTTGCAGTGCTCTTTATTGATCTGAGTATTATCTGTCGTTTCCTGTTTTGGTAGATGAAGATTAAGCGTTCTTATACGCCCATATATCCTTCTCTTTACCCCACCCACCCCCACGTACAGTTAAAGCCCAAGTGTTTATTATCTCAGAACCACTGTTTACTCCTGAGGCTAGTAAATTTTGTTTTTCTTGGAGCTAGTCATTGCCTTATCTTTTTGCTTGCTTCATTTTCTTTTTTTTTTTTTTTTTTGTGGGGCAGGGCATGGAGGGGTACTGAGGCTTGAACTCAAGGCCTTGCATTTGCTAGCTAAGTGCTCTACTGCTGGCCCCTTCTGCTGTAGTTATTTTTCATATATAATATTGCTTTTATGCCCAGGCCAGCCTGGACTACAACTCTCCTATTTACACTTCCTGTGTAGTTGGGGCAACAGGTGTACACCACCCTGCCTAGCTTTTTTTTGGTTGAGATGGGATCTGGCTTTTTGCCTCAGCTGGCCTTGAACCATGATCCACCCAATCTCCACTAGGATTACAAGCATGAGCCACCACACCCTGCTCGTTTTCTGCTGTTTTCCAACTCATTCTAAAGTCTACCACATACCTACCATTCTCCCCTCTGCCCGCCACCCCCCCCACCTACACACACACGTGCTCCATTGTGTCAGATAATCTGCCCATGCACCTTTTTTTCCTGGAGCCACTGCCCCTCTACTTCTAACGGACTCAGCGAGAGGCACAGCTGAATCTCCCCTGGGCACTTAGTGAGCCATTTCCATCTACACTAATTGTGTTATGTGCCCAGTCTAATTGTGTTTCCTCTTCCCTCTTTCCAGAAGCCTGGTTGGGTGGCCCTTGGAGAACCTATAGAGACAGACCTTGATCTTGCTGAAGAGTGACAGGCAGAAAGCTCCCTGGTCTGTGGGCACTCCAGGCGTCAGTGCTCTGGGGCAGAGACCCAGGCCAGAGGGACAGCATGACAAACAGAGCATTCCCAAACTTAGACGTTTTCCAAATTCATGGCTTGAGTGTGAAGAAAGTCTTTCCAAGGGCTCTGTACCCTGACAAGCACCCGCCCCTGTCACTGGCTGCCCAATTCTCCCCACCACTTCAGCTGCATCAGGGTTTTACCAACCCCTGCAGATGGATGGAGGGGCTGAGGCCTTGTTCCCCTCCCCGTCTGGCTGTGTCAGTATGTGCTGGGGGAAAGGTATAAACAACTGGAAGGGGGAGAGGATCTGACCAAGGTCATTCCCCTTGGTGCATGGCACACACAGGTCCCCTGAGGGGTTAACCCCATGTGTTGCCACCTGTTAGGTGGTAATGACACTGGAGAGGTGGGAAAGGACCAGGCCAGTTTGTGACCTGACGGGGAGCAGATGCACACTGGTATCTCCTCTACAACAGGGGCTGTGAAGCCCACTGGAGAGCAGGCTCACCTTGGCAAAGACCACATGCAAGGAGAAAGAGCTGTGGAAGGGAGGTCTGTGACCATGGCACATGGCTGATGCCAGGCCCTTGCCCTCAGGGGCAGTCAGGAGAACCACCTGAATGTGGGGTTAGTGTGAAGCCTGTCAGGAACCCCTTCCAAGCACCCTCCTGGGGTAGGCATAGGACATTCCCTCAGGACTCCAAGATCCACCCTCAGTCTGCCCTCAGCTGCAGCTGCTGACCTTCTGGATGGTTCCTTGGTGCATGTGGCTCTGTGACCTCCAGGCAGCTCCTCGGGCTTGGTGCTGAGATCCACAGTGGCCAGACTGGGTGCAACTGGGAATGGGTTCTTCTCAGAAGGAAAGTCATGCCCTCTAGTCTCTGGATGCCAGGATCAGAGCAGGTACTGTCCCAGCTTTGGTTATAGGCTCTTGGGCAGCTGCCTGTTTAGGGTCTCTTGCTCCCTGGTCTTTATTCATGTGCTATCAGGTCTGTGGCTATAAGCCCCTGCTATGGTAGACCAGGCATCAGGACCAAGACGGCCTGCTCTTCTGGGTTTTGGTGCCTTCAGCACAGATGAGCAGAACGGAGTAGGCAGTGGGTGTGGGATACACAAGGCCAGATGTGCCTTGGGGTCAAGGAATCTGGGGCCTGCTGGTTTTGTCCATAGCCCATCCAAGAGGAAAGCAGCTCTGTCCGTCAAGGCTAGCCATGGCCTGATCCCCAGAGCCGTCACCTGCTTGGGCCTGGTGGACACCTGACACAGGTCCCCAGAAGGCTTCCAGCAGTTGAGGCCACATGGACCATACCAGGAAGGTGTGTGGGTCCTAGCCACAAGCTAGATAGTCCTTGTCCACTTCCAGCCCTTGAGGGCTGCAACCACTACCTGACCCCCAGAGAGTAGATGTCCCCTACTTACTCATGCCTCAGGCACCTCTGGGTACCCCTACCCCGTACTCTCTCCCCACTGTTTGCTGGGAGCCCCTTGAGGTCAGGGCCTGGATCTGCCAGTCCACAGGGACTCCAGGGGTGAAGGGAATGAGCGGTGCTCTGTTTCTTCCTTGGCAATCCCTGCGCATAGTAGGACTGGCCTTGAGATCCCCTGGAGGCATCCGCCAGCCCCTGGGCTTTCTGTGTCCCCACAGGCTGGGTGGCTTGGCAGTCGTGCCCTTCCACCTTCACCCTTGCCAGGCAGCTGCCACTGGGGCCCTGTAAAGCACTGTATCCCCAGAGTTCCCCTAGGGCAGTGTGAGGGGCAGAGGACCTGGGTGCTCTTGGGGCCTTAGTGAGGAGGGGATGACTGGGTGCACTTTTATATTGCTGTCTGAGGAGTCTTGGGGTGGGAGGGACCCACTCTGGCATTCTGTGTCCCAGGATGGTGCCCCAGGCCCTGGTTCTCCCTGTCATGGGTCACTCCAAGGTTAGGTCTGCAGACCCCACCCAGCTGACCCCACACAACACCATTCCTGTCACAGACTTATCTGGCAGCCACCCTCCACATTTCACCCACATTTCTGTGGTTCCCAACACCCCCAGGCAGGGGTGGGGGAGAAGAGAATGAAGCCTCCCCAGGGCCCTTCTTCCTACACTACTGGGCACTGGTATCCTGGGCCACACTATAAATCCTAAGTTAGGGCTTTTCTGTGATGTGGACAGGATGGTCTGCTGGTGCCCCTCCTCCAGCCTGTGAGCCAGCCTGCACTCTAAGCAGCTTTTGAAAACTGTTGGTCCCTGAACCTGTGGCTCTGGGACCACCCTGGGTGTGCAGAGTTTGGCAGCCTGGCTCTCCCAGCAGGGCAGCCAGGTTGTCCTTCCTGAGGAGCAGGCAGCCTGGGGAGCCAGTGTAGGGCACCTTTGGTGGTCACCCTTGGAAGCTGTGTGTCCTTGACACGTTTTCTCACATGTTAGACCCCGAGACTTTCGACTCAGAACTGGGCATTCTGAGAGCTTAGTTCGGCAGTCAGCATGGGTGAAGGAAGCCCACACCACGGTCTGGGCTTACCTTCTCTCTGGGTCTCATTGCAGGAAGTTCTACTACATCACCCTGCTGCGGGACCCTGTGTCCCGCTACCTGAGCGAGTGGCGGCACGTGCAGCGTGGAGCCACGTGGAAGACGTCGCTGCACATGTGCGACGGGCGCACACCCACGCCCGAGGAGCTGCCGCCCTGCTACGAGGGCACGGACTGGTCGGGCTGCACGCTGCAGGAGTTCATGGACTGCCCCTACAACCTGGCCAACAACCGCCAGGTGCGCATGCTGGCCGACCTCAGCCTGGTGGGCTGCTACAACCTGTCCTTCATCCCCGAGGGCAAGCGGGCGCAGCTGCTGCTGGAGAGCGCCAAGAAGAACCTGCGCGGTATGGCCTTCTTCGGCCTCACCGAGTTCCAGCGCAAGACGCAGTACCTGTTCGAGCGGACGTTCAACCTCAAGTTCATCCGGCCCTTCATGCAGTACAACAGCACGCGGGCGGGGGGCGTGGAGGTGGACGAGGACACCATCCACCGCATCGAGGAGCTCAACGACCTGGACATGCAGCTCTACGACTACGCCAAGGACCTCTTCCAGCAGCGCTACCAGTACAAGCGGCAGCTGGAGCGCAGAGAGCAGCGGCTGCGGAGCCGCGAGGAGCGCCTGCTGCACCGCGCCAAGGAGGCGCTGCCGGGGGAGGACGCGGAGGAGCCGGGCCGCGTGCCCACCGAGGACTACATGAGCCACATCATCGAGAAGTGGTAGTGGCGGGCGGCGGGGGAGGTCGCAGGGCCGGGGGAGAAACTGGCACCAGCCGATGGCAAGTAGGGCCTACCCAAAACTAAGGGGACACCCCCAGCCACTCATCAGAAGGCACCCCGGGGAAAGCGGAGTGGGCCTGCTGTTTCCCCCGGGTAAGGGCAGCTCGGTAGGTCAGAGGGAAGCTGCTGGAAGGATGCCTCAGGTATGGTTGGGTCTTTGGGACGGGGAACATCTCTGCTCTCCTGGCCCCGTGCCACTCCCAACAGCTGCAGGTTTGGAAAAAAAAAGACACTGTGGAGAGGATGTGCCGGGTAGACCACGAGTGAGCCCCACCAACTATGCACGCACCCTACTCTGGCCACCTCTGCCCAGACCACTAGGGACAAGTAACCAGCTCCAAGCAGCATACCTGAGGCCCCGTGACTTCTGATGCCCCAGGGCCTGAGAGCCCTCCTCCCCTCTGAACATAGGCAACTTTCTGAGGTACCTTCAGGCCTAGAGCTCCCCACACCGTCCTGCAGCAAGTGCAGGGGCCACCCCACTGAGGCTGCCTCTAGGCGGCCCACTCTGACCCATGGTCAAAGCCTGGTCAGCCTGGCCTTTGAGGGTGACCACCCAGGTGGACCAAGCTCAGACAGGTAGGGGAGTGGGTACCAGGAACTCCTTTTAGCCCTGTTCTTTCTGATCCTCTGCCCCCAGCCCCGTCACTGGGATGTTTCTTCAAGGGCTCATGCTGCTCTCAGAGCCCCACATGTGACAGTACAAGCAGGCTTCCATGGGCTGGAATGCAGACCACAGCTGCTATCTGTGAGCCATAGCCCTGGGTCATGATGGTTCTGGAAGCTTTCAGATTCTCAGCTGGGGCTGAAAGAAACAGCTCTGTGTCCCATGCCACACACACCCCCACCCCATTCCCACCCAGCCTGGGGAAACTCTGGCCAGGCTGTTTCCAACAGCTTCACCAGCTGGCCAGTGACCCTACCAGAAGCCATGTCACATATCCGTTGTAAGCATTTGCCCCACGCCCCTGTCCAGGAGGCCTAGGTGAGCCCACACCTGATTAGCAGGTGTGGCTCTTCAGAGGCCATGTGCCCAGAGACTTTGGGCTGAGCTAGGGCAGGAGGAGGGAGGAGAACAGGTGGGGACTCTTCCCTGCCCTGCTTCCAGTCAGCCAGCCCAGCTGACCCCTCATGGAGTGAAGGGGCTCACTAGCACAGGAAAAGCTCAGGAGTAGTTGCCCTGGAGCAAGCGGCTTAATCTTCACTTACCTGGCATAAGGATCGCACAGTCAGGAGACTTGGGCTCCAGGTGGGCACCAGCTAGCCAGCCAGGGCCACCTCCGTAGTGAGTGGTCACACTGAGGAGGCAGGCACCAAGGTGAGTTAGTGCTGTGGCTGTTTTAAAGGGAATTCAAGGCCACTGTGGAGGGAATCTGCTGTGATGCTTCTTGTTTTGGGTGAGCACACACTTGGGAGGAGGGCGGGTGGATCTGGGGAGTCCTGGGGTCTTTCACAAAAATCACGTGGGTTGCTACAGCCTCCTGTCCAGAAGTGGGCACCCAGTCTCAAGATGGTCGCTCCACGTGGGCTTTCTGTGTGTACGGCCAGAGTAGAGGATCTGTTTTGTACATATTGGAGAATGTTTAAACTTACACCCTGCCATCCCAACTCACGCGGAAGCATGGGTCTCCCCCAGTCTCTGCTGGTTTGGAAAGTGGTCCCGCCTCAGGCCAGAGTCAGCCATGGTGCCCCCGCTTCCTCAGCTGTCAAGCCAACACTTCCCACTCAGGCCACCTGCCTTGGGGCAAAGCTTCCTGTGCCCTCAGCATCTCATCAGACATCACAGGATGGGGTGGCCCTCCTAGCTCTGAGGACCCTGCCCACCCATGGGCCCTCCCCAGTGCTGAGAGGACAAAAGCAAACACAGCAAGCTAACAACTAGGTTGCCTGGCACCCTACAGACCTGCAGACGTCCCCTCCTGGAGAAGGAAGCAGGGATGGCCGAACTCTGAGCAACAAGTCTGTGAACTTTTTGGGAACTGGAAGTGTTTAACTTGAACCCAGGAGCATTTAAAGCTTTATTTATTTATAGCTTCTTATTAAAAAAAAGTGTTGGGAAAGTTTTTGGTTATTCATACAAAAAATGATGGAACAGCAAGTCATAACCATCTAATTGTTTTTGTCTAGGTCAAGAATGAATGTTAGCAGATGAAATAAACTCTGAACAGGACACTGTGTGCTGTGGTCTGTGGTGGCATGGTGGCCGCTTGCCCAGGGCGGGCACAGGTGATGGGGCGCGGACACTGCTGTGGCGGTGGTCTGGGGCGCGGACACTGCTGTGGCGGTGGTCTGCGAGTGCAGGGAGCCCAGTGAGCCTGTCTTCACAGCAACAGTTCGCTTATCACTTACTAAGAGTCTGGAAAGATGACACCAGGTGGAAGGAAGGCTGTCATGAACAGGAATGTCGATGCCCTTGGGTCACAATGCAATGACTGCTTTCCTCTCGACTTTCATTTGGAAAGATTTCAAACAACAAAGACGGTAAAAGAATAGTTCGTAGACACCCATAAGCTCTGTATTAGTTCCTTTTCTTTTGCCAGTAACATAATTCCAGACTGGACGAGTTATAAAGAGAGGAGGTTTATTATTTTATTTATTCCAAAGTAGAGGGGCTGCATCTGGTGATGGCCTTGCTCTTCCTTCCTACTTGTGGCAAAGGGCACCACAAGGACAGCAGGACACCTCCCAAAGAGCCCTCCACCCCCACCCCAGACACAGATTAAGGTTACATCCTCTGAATCTCATAGTGGGCATTAAACTCCCAACACAGGAAGCTGTGGGGGTTACTCCAGCCACCCCCAAACCATAGCAAACCCTTAGCCTAGATTTTCCTGGCAGGAATATTTTGTCACATTCTTATCCTGTGCTTGCCTCTTCCATGTCACTCACACACACACACACACTTGGCTTTTCCTCAAGCATCTGAGAACAGGTTGTGGCTATCTGGATACCTAAGTACTTCCACATAAGAATGACATTCTGCTGCAGATTTCAACCCCATTGTCACATCCCCCACAGGTAAGCAATATGGATAGTGTTTTAACATGACCCATAGCCACAGTGTCCCATTGTCCCAGGGATACCCTCAGAGGACTTTTGTTAGCCCAGAACCACTTCCAGCGCCTCTCCTGTCTCCTTTAACAAAGAGCACGCACCTTCCTTGTTCTCGCTCACCTTTCTTAGCATTAGTATTTTGGAGTAACGTAAACCAGCTGTATCTTAAAGATGACTCTTGGACCTGAGGCCTGGTGCTGCTGGGCCTTGGCTCTGTGTTTGGGGGCAACAGGGAGTCCTGGTCCTTGTCCTGCCAGGCCAGATGGTCTCTGCCTTGGCCTGCGGAGCTGGCCCCAACCACTCTTCCTAAACACGCTTCATTCTGATTTAAAGATCCAAGCTCTGGTTCCCCTGATGGGTGATGAGTGGCTTTCCTAGCTTGTCCCTCCCCATACGCTGCAATGCCTGAATTGTGGTCTCTTAGGGGCCTCTCCCCAGCCTCCTATGTGTCCCCCTCTCTCTGTTGCATGGGACCAGGGCACACTCCCCACATCCCAGCAGTGACTAGGTTCTCACCCCGGCCCTGCCACCATCCCTTGGCCAGGAGGCAGCCTCTGCCCTCACCTGCTCTTTGCAGGGGCAGGTGAAGCACAGAGACCGCCCCTGCCTTTGGGAGGAGGCTTGTCCCTCTGATGCTCTGCTAGGCCCCCCGCTCACCTCGGCACAGCTTCCCTGTCGGCCACCCAGGCTGCCCCTCCCACTACCGCTGGCCTGCCTGCCACACTCCCTGGGATCAAATGAGCCTCACTGCCTGTGGCTTCCTGCCAGCTCAGCACCCCTTCCCACTATCCTAGTCCTGGCACAGACCCAGAGTCTCCACCCCAAGCGTCTGGTGGCTTCCTGTGATGCTGTGTGTCCTGCGGCCCCTCCCTGGCTCTATGAGAGGCAGTCTGAGGAGCTTGGAAAACACTTTCTCAAACAAAAAGCCAGGCATTCAAGACCCAGAGGCCCAGACTCCAGGGAGTCAGCTCTGGCTCCATCTCCACTGCTTCCTTTGTTCTGATGGTGCCTCCTGCTCCAGAGGCCCCAAGGCCAGAGTGGCCCAGGGAGCGCCAGGCAGTCTGTTCCTGAGGAGCAGAGCACCGAGGCCCTGTGCCCTGCCAGGCTCCTCTCCAGGGAGTAGCCATGGTGGCACAGAGCCATGCACAGGAAGAGCATGAAGGGGCCCTGGGCCCCGGGCAAGAAGGGCTCCAGAGGAACTGAGCTTCTGCTAACAAAAGCTTGCATACAACCAACACACTCAAGCCAAACCTCGGCTTCCTGAGTGCTGCGTGGGGAGGGAGGGAGGTCTGCCCACTTTCAGCTGGCCCTCCAAGCAGGAGGGATTTTTCCACTTCAGAGGTTATGAAACTGGCATCCCAGAGAGCCTGCGGCTTGTCCCTTGACTGTCGGTCTCCCTTCCTTAGTAGTTGAACCTCAGTGTATCCGTGGGAACAGTCAGGCAGGATCACGACTGTATTTCACATAGCTCTACAATGAGATATGGCTGCACGACATCTCTGACCAACAGAGAACAAGGGGAAATGCCACTTGCATCTTACGGAAACAATCCTGATAGAGAAGCAGCAGGTCCTCTTTTCTTCCTACCTAACAGCTAGATTGAGTGATGGCTAGAGTCAGGCAGCCATGTTGGACCATGAAATGAAGTCATGTGTTGAGGATAAGAAAGGTCCCTAATGATTGTAGAAGCACCCACAGCTTTGGACTGCCTGCCTTCAGAATGTATTTGTGAGAGAGAAATAAACATGAAATCACGATAGCTTAATTCTAGCAGTGATGGGCCACAAGACCCAGCCACCAAAGATCAGGCTGACCCAGCTAGGGACAGCAGCGCAAGTAACAACACGTCCATCCGTCCCCCCAGTCCTGGAGACACCCATCTGCTGTCCCAGCCTCACTAATGCAAAGTGCAATGTACAAAAAGAGATTTGTTTTCCTTCTGTAACTTTTGAATTTTGAACATATGAATGAATTGCCTGTTTGACACACAAAATCCTGAAAAGTAAAAGCAAAATGGAAGATAAATGCTAAATTCATGACATTGACTTTCCCAAAGTCACAGAATGAGAACAGGTGAGAATCAGGCTGAAGGAGTAAGTGAAAGTCAACGTTGTAAGATTTTATAGATTTTCATTAGAAAATAGGACAGATGAATAAAAGAACAACAGCTGTCACTCCCAGGTGATGGGTGAAGGCACATTTATAAATTTGTATATAAATATTTTATAGCATAATATATAAACAATCTAGGTAAGTATAATAAATAGGTAATAAAAGTACATGTTATTCTTTGTACTCTTCTGCACAGTTTTATGTACCTCAAAGCAAAGTCATAATTTTAAGAAACTGGCCTGAAAGGCAGATGCAGAAAGTAAGGCTAAAACAGGCTTCTAGCTCCTGACACAGGAAGGGCAGTGGGCAACCACAGCTGGACCCAAGACCTCCAGATGTGGACAAAGGACCAGGCTGGATGTAGACTCCTCTGTGGCCATGGCCCATAAGGGCAGGGGAGGCTGAAGCTGGGGTTTTCAACTTGTTTCACAGCATTTTGCTGGATTGATCACAGGACAGCCATGACACCAAGTGTCATTGCCCAGAATGGGCCCAGCCTCCCCCACACTTCCATTCTTCCTCAGCTCCAGAGCCCTCCTGAGAGGGTCCTCAAGCACCCTGACAAGATGCCACAGTGCTCCCTTGGTGAGGGGATTTCCATGTGGGCAGACCCGCTGTGTGTCTGCAGGCACCTTGGAGAAAGGAACCTGCCTGCAGACCACAAGGATTGGCTATGAGGTGGTCACATGACCCTGGCAGAACCAATCAGATTTCTGCCCAAAGATTTTCTTTTTTTTCTCTTTTTCTTTTTTTTTGTCTTTTTTTTTTTTTGTCTTGAGACAGGGTCTCACTATGTAGCCCAGGATGGCCTTGAATTTCAAATCTTCCTGCTTCCACCTGCCAGGTGCTGGGATTACAGACACATACCACTACATTAAGCCCCAGGATTTTCTTACAGCAAACAAAGAGCCCTTTCATCTCTGTCACAAGCTCTGAGGATGTGCACAAGCATCCCTTGGAATGATGTGACCTGGCTTTTGGAAATTCAGCAGGAGAGTGAAGGTACTCCCTAGAGAGTGGGGACCTGATCCAGCTGTCTTTGAGGCCTGTGCCTCCCTGCCTTCCTACTATCTGGTCGCAAAAGCCTCTAAGTGTCACTGTTGTGCCAAAGTTACTTGGCTTTGGGGCTCTATCACTGACGGGGTATCAGGTGTAGGGTCTGAAAGCAAAGTGAGGGGGCTCCAAGAGCACAGCCTCTATCAGGGCAACAGAGGTGCCATGGGTCTGTTATTCCTGTCCCCATCAAGGACCATCCCTCAAGAGCTAAAGGCCTGGAACTTTCCCAGAATTACAGGAAGCCATCTCAGGAGAGTGCATTCTGAGATCTGCTGCCATCTGCTGTCTCCTCAACTGAGAGCCCTGCCAAGCTCCCCGGTGCCACGCCAGCAAAATCACAGAATGCCTGTCTGCTTCCTGTGTCACTTATGGTCAGGGACCGCTGTATCCATGGCATTCATATCCAAAGGTTCAACCAACCTCTGATCCAAAACAAAAATTAAATATACTGAACATGAACTTTGGTTGTGTCATTATTCCCTAAACAATACAGCATGACAGAGCTGGCAGAGTGGCTCAAGTGGTAAGAGCACTTGCGTAGCAAGTGTGAGGTCCTGACTTCAAATCCCAGTGCCTCCAGGAAAAAAAAAAGCATAACAACTGTTACATAGAAAATACATCACAGTATTACAGGAAAATGTAACACCATTTGACTAAAGACTTTGGTATGAGGGTCTTGAAACAGTACCCCGTGGACACTGAGGGGCACAGAGTGTTGATTTCTGCTCTTATCTTCCCATCTTTCCTTCTCTAACTTGAGTTTATTCTACACTTCTGTTTCTAGGTTCTTTGGGTATGAGCATAAGCTACTGGCACTCTGCCACTTGAGCCATACCCCTACTTGAGCCATACCCCTACTTGAGCCACGCCCCACTTGAGCTATGCCCCTACTTGAGCCATGCCCCGCCTTCTTTCTGTTACTGATTTCTACTTTTATTGCAT